AATTTGTGAACAAGAAATTAAAACTCTTAAATTTTGATAAAGTAAGAAAAGCCTTGAATTATTATCGCAATCATTGTAATTATTGCAAAAGTATTGGTAATTTAAGTCTATAATCTTATGTCTATCTGTTTGGGATCATTCTCGTGAGGGCTCATTCTCATTTGAACTAATATTTTTCCGTTAGTCCAACTGGTTCGATACAAGAATTGTGTCTTATTTTCTTTTCCGTTTGGGGTACTGATTGGGGTACTGATTGGGGTACTGATTGGAATACTGATTGGAATACTGATTGGGATACTGATTGGGATACTGATTGGGATACTGATTGGGATACTGATTGGGGTACTGATTGGGATACTGATTGGGATACTGATTGGGATACTGATTGGAATACTGATTGGGGTACTGATTGGGATACTGATTGGGATACTGATTGGGATACTGATTGGGATACTGATTGGGGTACTGATTGGGATACTGATTGGGATACTGATTGGGATACTGATTGGGATACTGATTGGGGTACTGATTGGGATACTGATTGGGATACTGATTGGGATACTGATTGGGATACTGATTGGGATACTGATTGGGGTACTGATTGGGATACTGATTGGGATACTGATTGGGATACTGATTGGGATACTGATTGGGATACTGATTGGGGTACTGATTGGGGTACTGATTGGGATACTGATTGGGATACTGATTGGGATACGGATTGGGATACTGATTGGGGTACTGATTGGGATACTGATTGGGATACTGATTGGGATACTGATTGGGATACTGATTGGGGTACTGATTGGGATACTGATTGGGGTACTGATTGGGATACTGATTGGGATAAACAAAACGAGAAGCAGATGCTTATTAAGATCTATATTTTATCTACAGTCTTTATAATGAAGGATTTCCAAATTTAGTTGAAAGAAATTGTACTTGATCCATGGTAATATATAGCCACAAAGTAAGAACGCTAAAGGATTTGATCCATTTTACTTAGGTAGGAAATATCTCCAATATGCATCGTCTGCCAACTTAGGTTTATAACAGATATTTTTCTGTACCTGTATTAAATATTAGACATATATAGTTTGAATTCCAATTAAGATATCAAAAAAATATCCAACAGTTGAATAGCTTTCGAAGTCACAGCTTTAAATGGAGGTATATTTCAAATTTGTATGCAACAATTTTGCAAAAAAACATAAATAAATTTTTTAGGGTTAAAAAATTACACTATCTCATTAATTTGTTCTCGGGCTCACTTATTCTGTATTGCAAAAGTTGCAAAAATGTCAGATTTCTTGGGCTATATATACGGAAGTTGATGTTTTACATCTAATATCAGGATATCTATAGATAGCATGAAAAAATTTTATTCAAAATTCAAAATTCTGTTCCAAGCAAGTTTTAGATAAAGTAAAAAGGTTTTGATAGACAAATCGAATAATAAATCGCGAAAATTTTAACAAAAATGCGCCACTCTCAGGTAAAGGCGCATGCGTCAATTCCGGTATGAAGTTTTTCTTCTGAAGTGATTCAAATTATTTATTATAGATAATCTGTACGGCTCTTGTCTACGTTTGTAAATTACACCGGAAGCAGCAGAAACCGTTCTCACGCCCAAACCGAATGTTAATTTAAAATTTTGATAACGCAGTTCAACTTCTATTGGAATTCTGTCTATAGCCTGTTATTTTCAGATCGATCCGATAGTTAGTGCCTGGGTAAAACATTTTGGAATTTTTCATGCATTTTTTTTTCTATAAAAATTTTAGAATTTTTCTATTGCATTCGATATATCTTGTACAAAGATGAAAAAGAAAGCCTGGTAGATCGACCCACAAATAAGCTCTACAGGCTCCATATCAATTTTTGCACATTATGCAATATGTCACTTCCGGTTTAGCATAAATTTCAAATAGGAAATTCATTTTTGATTCCAGCCCATTTAAAAATCTTTGGTTAAAACAAAAATACTTTACCATTTTCAGTTTGTGCTTGAGACATTCCCGAAAAAAATCGATTGCAAATCAAACCGTGACTTATCGATAAATCGATTTCAAATGAAATGGCATGAAATGGAAATATTTCAAGTTATTCTGCAAATAGACCAATGGAGGAAAAGAAGGAATATTATAGAAAACAGAAAGATAAGATCAGATCGTACACCTTGCGCGAAGGTTAAAAGCGACAACAAACAAATGTTGCACTCATATCTTCTGTTACGAGGTGTGGGAGTTTGGGTGTTTAATCCCTTAAAACCCTATCAGCCTATGCACCTTATGAAATAAATCTATAATTCTTACCCTCAAGACATTCGTACTCGATCCTGGAGTAGGTCGACAATCCTTGTTGACATCCTCGCGTACGATGTGGCTTGTCCAGACGGCACTCCTCTTGAAACTCGCAGCTGTCATATAGAAGTTTTTGAAGTGGGATATCTTTACTGAATGGCTCAAAACAATCCCCTTCTTCTTGGCGACAGCATCTGAAGTCGCAAGCCTCTATGGCACAACGCTCTGTTTTAAATCCAAACTTGGCGTCATTTATAGCTATTATCCTGTTTACATTTCCATCATTACATTTCAAACTATGAAAATGGCAAGGGTAAGTGCTAAAACATTTTTCATCCACATACAGAGCTGAAATTAAGATAAGATTTTTAGAACGTCAAATATATTCTCTTCGACATTTGAGGTAAAAGATTATATGTCTATTTTACATGTTGATATCGCGGTAAACAGTCCAAGTTTCATCTTCACAATGTCAAGCTATTACGAACTACGTCTTATACCTGGATTGCAATAGCAACCAGTTTGCTATCACAGAGAATTTGTAAATGAAGCGATTTGGTCGAATAGAACATTAGAGGATACAACCAATCAGAGCCCTGTAAAAGTGGCGTTTCTAAAAAATAGGGGGGCGGGGGAACAGGTTGGTCCGGCTTTGTGTTTCCTAGAAACGCCACTGTCCCATAAACCATAAAGTTGACAGTATTTATATCAAAGGACTGTATTTTGTGATACAAGAAAAGTGACTATTGTAATCAAGGTACAAGACGAAGTTCGTAATAGCTTGTAAGAAGACCAAGTTCCTACTTTCATTTTCTGTTTTAGCAAATCAGATAACCTAAAACTTCCGTTCCTCTCAAAAACAAGAAATTAATCCTTACCGTAAATAAAAACCCAAGTGTCGAGAAATAGGACGACAACCAACCAGTTGTTCATTATTTATCTAAAAGCATATAGAATTGTTTGATATTAAGGAATAGTAGGCACCTTGTCAAAAATAGCTGAACAGTAACGCTTAGCTGAACATGTGTGCCGGTTATAGGGCTGTCGAAACTCAAACAGTAAACCCTAGTCGAGGTAATGAAACATAATAATAATAATCACTTTATTATGGTAAGAAATTAGGCCAAAAGCCTTTCTTGCATTTCGCCCAAGTTATATACAACATAGAAAAGTCAAATTGTAGCTTACCTTGTTAAGACAACGAACATCCGTTTACAGAAATTAAAACGATGCCTATTTTAACCACTGAATGGTTTTGACTGACTATATCAAGTGAGAGTATAAAGCGACTTGTGATATCGGAGCTACAAGGATATAATATAATAAAGGATGTAAAGGGGGTCGAAATGTCATTCGAGGAAGTCAATTGCTGGTCTTAGTTTTCATATCTCTTTTACACCTCCGCACATTGCTATTAAAACGATTAAAGGGATTTTCACGTGTATCGAGGCCATGTCCTGTATTTATTTATGATTCCAATTTCCCGCCTGATATCTGTGGTTCCTGTAATAATATAGAAATGCTTAATGCTGTACGACGTCATAAAAGCCCAGTTTAAGTGGAATCGCCAGAACCACAGATATCTGATTGAAAATTGGAATGGTGCAAATAAAATGAAAATTCCAGAAAACTGTTACTTTACAAGAGGTATGCGACAGTAAATGTATCAAAATGGAAGTAAACTTCTTAATAGCTTGCCACACCTACATTAACAGTGTTCTGTAACTTTTATTTATAATAGTCTCCCCTTGTACTATTATAAAAATTCTTGTGATAAGGCTTCGTTTAAAATTCCCCCAACAGAATCCTTGAAATCAACTTTTGTAGTAATTTTGACACCCCCTTCTGTTTTTACTGCCATGATCCTTGGATTATTGAGAACAATGTACTTAAAGAGACTATAATCCCAGATTCTCCATTATATTCTGTTTTTTTCTACTCTTTTCTCAATCTGATTTAAGGTGCCCTCACACCATAGTGATAGTGATCACCAGTTGTGTAAATGGCTGTAAATAATGAAAGTGGTCATCAGTACCGAACGCAACTCACTCTTGCTCTTTCCTCACAATTTGGGTTTGTAAATTCCCCTCCCCCAAAAACTCTGTACACCCACACTTATGTATTTTAATTTGACTGAATTTCATCTGAATTTTAAGGATTCAATCACTAGCCATGAACTGTTTTAAGACTTCTTAATTAACCTACTTATTCTAACTAATTATATATGATCTCTGATACTTTATTTCTATTTCTATGGCCTTCTTTTATCGAGCCCGCTATATTAAAAAACTCAGTTGAAAGAACATTTTAATGATATGAATAATATATCGTTTTTTTAAATAATATTTTCCTAATTTTAGACAATCAAACAATTACCATTAGAGTGAACACTTTTCAAAATAGTCTAATTCCACTATTACAAAAATAGTTTGTTTAATTAATTGTTTTGAATTTAACTAAGACATTTTCTTCCTTTTCTTCTTTATATTTTGAATGGGACATATCCCGAATTTTTGTATCGTATGTCACAAAGTCTCAATAATACCCGAAATATTTGGCCACAGCTGCCCAAAGGAAAACATTGAATATGAATTGTGGGGTGGGGGTGGCTGTGGGGTGAGGGTGTTCGTGGGAATGGGGTGGTGGGGATGAATAACCTTTTATATGTTTACCGTTGACTGTTGTATGACTTCTTTGTGATTATTATAGTAATATTGCTACCATTTTTACATAACCTTTTTATAAACCAATCATACTTTAGTCCCAGAAACGGGATTTATTTTTAGCTTAGCCAATCAGTAATAGTGTTCACAGCTCACCATCGAAATTTGAGCCTTCAAATCCATGTGTGTCCAGAATTATCTGCGTTCGAATGTTAACATGACGACTCGTCAATTTAAGATACTCTGTTATAAAAAGACATGTATAGAAATAGTGAGTAAAATTCCCGAAGTATTTTTGAAGGAATTGTGCGATTTTCGCACATCTTAATATTTCTGAAGATTGTTTACATCCCCCAAAATGTCGCATTAGGTGAGGGGGTGAGGGGGTAAAGGGATTTAGCAGGGACCAACAAATTTTCCTGAGTGCGCCACAGGAAATTCTTCCACTAAAGTTATAAAAAAATTGAACGCCCTGTCACCCTCCATACGAAACTACATATGGTTCTTATGAGGAAATAACACATACCTAGTTTCGAATGGGTCGGCCTATTTTCCATACACACTTGGAATAAAAAAAGGTAATGCTAATTTGATGAAATATTTCTATTATTATACACTGTATGGCCTATAGTATTACCTTGATCAGGAGCAAGAAGGATGTAAAACTCTGCTTCGTTTTATTCCCTTATTTTAACCAGAGAGATAGATCCGCCGATATAAAATAATATAGAGTTAGATGCACTTAGCAGTGTGCAATGAGAAAACCTTGTCACGGTTATATTATGTTAGATACCTCGACAGTTGGGAGCTGCAAAAAGTGTTTCATGGGCGAAACCGCAGACTTTCCAATCCCAAATATTCAAATAACATATATAACTTTGAACAAAGAATAGAGTATAACATTTACATTGTGAACTCTTTGTCATGTTTTAGGTTTGGTGTATAAAACATCAAGAAGAGTTTTTTAATGAGGAAATAAATATAAAGAAAATCGCATAGTGTGAAACTCTGAGTAACATCATATTCAAG